TTCGTGTCAAGAGCCCAGTCGCCTCTATTAAAGGAATCTTGCGCGGAAAAATCATGATTCTATTTCAGCCATAAATCACTGGCTTGAGACTCATTATCCACGATAATAGTGAAAAGAACTGAAGTATTGCTTTCGTTTTGATTAGAAATTCGAAAACTCGAAAAGGCTGCTACGCGTTCGAATTGCCCACGGACGTCTTTCACGAATGCTGGCGACGGGGATGCTCAAACTTGGTTCTTGGAGTGCATTCACTAGAAGCTCTTTCTGGCCTTCTGCTTCGTTGCATTCACATCTTACACTTCTACTCCATCCTATTCCATCGATCGATTTGTCTCCACTCTCCGAAATCGCGCGCTTTAACCCGATTCTCTCATTGCGTCGCCTGGTACGTAGCCGGCCAAACGCCGTCTTCTTTCCATGCCTCGCCTGGCTCTGCCTCCTGGTCCTTCGATGGTCCATAACGTGTAGTTTTTGTACGTTTGTTTCTCTTCAGAAACCGAATCTTCATGCGTGAAACTTTGTGTGCTATTTCCAGTGATCACAACTGACATATTCATGTTAGGAAAGAGTGCAAGAATTTTCCGCGCAAGATTCCTTTAAACTTCCCAATTCATGTCTTGGCTATTCGCGACCCCCTTTTTCCTTGCACTTTATTCTTTACCAGTTTAGCTCCGCCCGCTACCGCGCGCATTGATAGAACTGACAATCGATGAAGCTTTAGGTTTCACCGCTAAATTATAGCTGCTTCGTTAAATGTATTACTGTCCGTTGCATAGGCTGCCCATCTTGGCTGTATCTCACTGTTTGATAAGCGCAGTGAAGTGCACAGCTAAAGTGATGATGTAAACAACCACTATGCGTCGAGTATCGAGGTAATTTAGCGGTCGAATATCTCAAAACGGAATGCCAGTATTCATTATCATATTTATTCGAGCATCCCATTCATCCTCAAGAACTCTAGAAGGTGTAGCGGTCGAAAGGTGTTTGAGTTTACAATTACAACGCTGATGAAATGATATTGAAATGAAAGGCATTATCTACAATCTGCTCTCTATTTTCTATTTCAAGTGCTCTCTACGTTCGTACGCATATCGTTACTATCAGTCCTCATCAGTCGTTATCACTTTTGTGCTCCCACTAAATATGTTCCGTCCCGCCCCTTATCATCTCTACTTCGCTTAGAAATATTTGTACAGCCATTCGTTATGGAATCAGTAGCTGCTGTTTAAAAAAGGGAGGAAATTTGATATCCAAACCAGGCTGGACTAACAGTAAGCACAGCAAACGTCCAGGAGATGCTGCAAATAGTCATAAGACATTCGGAGGAATTGTATAATAATTACACGGATTTCTAGGAACAACCATTGATTTAATCAAAATTCACAGAAATGGAGAAGAATAAATAAAGGTCAAGGATTTCACTAAGGAGGTATACGAAACCGTTTTGCTTGAGGTAGCTATGGGATAAAGGTAGAAACCAGGCCACATCCTACCCGGGGCAGGCCTTCATTTGCTGTCAGTTCCTAACCGTGAGAGACGAGACTGGTTTGAGAATGGTCCGATTCGTTGTCGCAGTTGCAGGCGGGATCAACCGTATTCTCGGGGAAAATTTTGAAAAATGGGCGACCCTCTTTAGAATGCGACCCAATCACGATGCCTTCCAACGTCCGGCGGTGTTCATAGTGTCGCTGACCGTTAGAAGGGATCGTATTGGGTCGCATTACCCATTAAAGGCTAGGCCCGCAAAACCAAACTGCGTCGGGGGAAGGGTTGACACTCCCGTAGGGCCGATTTCATTTCGCCAATTTTGCGACCCCTCTCCCCTAATCGGGTTTCAATACGACCCCGGATCACCACCAGCAGCCTTACAGGGCCCTCCATACATGCTCCCAAAACAGCGGCGGTCGACCAGGAAGAGGGAAGGGAGGGAAGGGGCACCATGTAATCCTTCTGAAGCCCATGCAATATTAACTTGTGCTGCACTGATCACTATATGTTGCGTTTGTGAATGCTTCCAGTGCTAGATTATCGCTGCGGTCAACATCAAGGAAAACTCGTAAATTTATTGACTGACTCGAAATGTAAGGATTACAATCGGCTAAGATGGCTTTTCAACTGTTATGAAAATAAAGAATTGAGCCTTAAAAGGCCACATCCGAATATAAGCGACTTTTCATAACACAATGGTTAACAAGAACGATCTCCAAGCTGCTTTGTACAATAATAGACACTTAATTAAATTCAGCTGTGAAAGTGCCACCTTCAATAAGCTGAAGCAGCAGGTCACAGCGAAACTAGTGATAATGCAGGACACATAAACTCCTCCACCTAAAAAAGAGGGCTACGCCGACGTAAAAGCACCACAATCTTGACAATCACCGCCTACATGTTGGGTCAGAGTCAAATCAATCGTCTGATCGAACTCTGTAGTGATAGAAACCCATGGCGCTTCGTGAAATATTCCATCCAGCAGTTATCGTAGCTACCCATGAGATGAACAAAAACGTCATCGGATAGAGGAAGTACTGCGTTCGGTGCAAAATCGGCAGAGCTGAAAAGGGCGCAAGTTTCAAAGAAAGAAAGAAACGTGAAAGCATCAAAATGTACCAGTATATCCCAGAAAAGTTATGTATACGTAATAGACAGCAGCGATGAACCAAATTGTGTTACCAAGTGCAGTCGGCAGAAAGAATGGAGAGTCAACCAAAGCTAGAAAATTATTTATTCAAGACAGCAAAACTAGACGTCTTGAAGTACAAGTCTAACCATAAGCGGACTTTGCCACCCAAAGATATGTTACTAGTCAGGAAGCTTAGAAATTCCGAATATCCCGATGCTGACTCAATTGTAAGACGAACCTCGCATCAGAAAAAAAAAACGAGAAGCGAGCAGAGCCAAAACTGTACTTTGTTTCCCGTGGCTTCACTTATCTCTCCTCCATAATCATAGGATTCCTCGCACAAACTCCAAAACTTTCCCTTTCGATCTTCTCATGAACCAGTGCACCAACCGTCCTTCCTGGGATGACGCGATAGTTTGCGAGTTCCAAATGTTTACTTTTGTTAACTGCACGCCGAACTCTTGACTCAGAAGGCCTCCCCTTGTGCCAACAGGCCCCACATTTCTTGTACTAGAAACTAACTTCACCAGAATGACATACAAACAACAAAAAGTCAAAGTGAGTTACGAGCGCACATTATGAAGTGATGACTCAAGAAGTTGGTGACACATTGCTCACAGGAAAGATCTTTAAACAACCGAAGACAACTCACTTGGATAAATTATGGGAAGAAGAACATGCAGAAGGATTAGCATAGGGAAGAAAGCGTTGAGATGCACATCGAAGCAATATCCCCATTCCACATCTTGGTCCTGCACTTTTCGGAGAAATCGATTTGAGAACCACCTGGAATTAAAATTTCATTGTTGTTGTTGCAAGACATAAAAAATAACCCTCAAAATAACAAAAAGACGCCCAGTAAGTCGAAGACAGGAGAGTGTCTTACCAGAGAACTGTTGCGACAACCACTCCAACACCGATGCAGTCTACGAAGACAACCCATAGAAAGAACTTGACGAATCCCCATGTCGTCAAACCGAGGGCAACGGCATAGAAGACCGAAGAAAAGAAAAGAGACAAAGATAGTAATACTAAGGAACGCGGGATCGTCTCGAGCAAACTGGTCCTTGGTACCTAAACGTGGACTAAACTATAACCAAAAAATATTACTAAAACATTGAAAAAATTCTTGCTGACTCAAAAAACAGGGTAGTTGGAAAGAAGTTATGTGCTGAAAGAACTGGGAAAATCCGGCACAAAACTCACGCTTTCTGTATATAAAGTTTCGATAGACTTTTTGAGGCTGAATCAGCAAGTATAGCATCTGCCACGATGCAAACTCGAAGTCCATCTAAACAAAACAATTCATTTATAGAACCCAAAACAACAGATTTTTGAATACTTTTAGTCATTTTCTGCGGTCTCAAATACCGTTAAGGTTAATAAAGTTCGAATCATTATACTCAAATTGAGATGGAACATTATCATAATGAAACCCTTACAGTGCTATTCTCAGCGGAGGTAGAGAATTCCTAAGTGATATTTTTTGACACCTGTATGTAAGTACTGGAAACGAATCTCGTTTATGTGAAAAAGCTGGCCTGAAGCCGAATCGGCCACGAGAGAGCATACAAGACAAGCAAAATCAGACACCCTGCCGCCTTCAGTGTCCCATTGCTGACAACATCAGAGCGGTGATCAGCGGTAGTCAACAACAAGGCCATTACGCCTGTGCCCCGCAAGCTACGAGAACAGAACATCTTCTACGTTTCAAAGAGCTCTATCATGCCAACGAAAGAGATAAGATCACCTGGCTTTATCGCGGAAAGGGACAAAAAAAGACGAGGCAAGTCTCTTGGCTAGTACTCGAGATAAAAAGTCATGCTTAGTGATACTTGATGCAATTGCGCCTTTCTCGCAGTATAAACTTGTGCACACTATGCCGAAAAATGATTAAAGAACAATATTAAGAATTGAAATTCCTTTATACAAAACAAACATTAAACCCTCAACAAAAGTCCGGCATCGCGTGTTTGACCCCTACCCAGGATGCGTTTTTTAGTAGAAAGCAACATCGTAAAATCAAATCTAAACACAATGAAGGAAGGTTAAACCTAAAGCAAACCTGTTTGAAATGCACAAAACGACGAGCAAAACGTGTCAGCTTTGCCCAAGCCGACATCCGGACAGCAGTGAAACAACCGACACGATCGCTTCTTAAAAACTGGGATATTATTGTTCTTTTGGTATAACAAGGCCAAAAGTTATAATAATAGGATAAAGGATAAAGCATTTGCCGTTGATCAATCCCCTTTT